CTTGTCCTACTACTAGTACAGATTACTACTATTAATACTGCATATCAACACTGGTGGCTCCTGGCTGGTGAGGAAGCTTGCTTGTCCTACTACTACTAGTACAGATAATGTGCCGAGCAAAAATGACTCTAATTGTAGAAAGATCCAAATTCAATCATACTAGTAGTACATCACACAAACAGGATCAGGTGCTGTATTATGCATTTTGCACAGTTGGCATCATTGCATGAATTTTTGGCGCCTGCCATTAATTTTTTGATAAGAAAGAATAAGTTTATTTAAAGTCTTTCATTACTCTGTTTTTCCAGAACATGCTTCTGGTGGATTTGGTGCTTATTTTCATTGAAATAGTATCCCTCTTCCATGGTGTATTCATGAAAAATACTCCTCATATCACCAACAGAAAACACTCTGCTTTTCATTATCATCATTATCTGAGAAAGCCATTCCAAATAAACCACCTTCTCTTTCTACACCTCTATAGCAAACATGGCTCCACCTAAGCTGAAGTTATTGTGTCAAATTTGCCACCATATGAATATTCTGTAGTAGTGCCAAATGGCACAAAAAACAGGCGCCATCACATGATGTGCAAAACTTCTGACTCATTTGGTGAAAGTCTGATTTGTTTCCAATACTGCAGGTGCTGTGGCAACAGACTTCATGATTTCAGTTCTTTTCTGTACAAAATCAGCAAGGACAAGGTGGACGTGAGTAAGTGGTTTGCCCTAATCAAAATAGATCGTTTCTTGTTTTTGTTCTTGCTGTCATAAAAGAATTGACAACAGTGGAAGAATGAATCTTCTTGGAGTGCAACAACCAAAATTGTACAGATACTAAATCAAAGTATTCATCCTCTCTGAAAAAGGAACAGAGTACCAGAATAATTTTTTGACTTATTTGAATATGTTGTTGACTATTAGCTACAGTAGTTAGACTACTTTTTGAATGACTCTATTTTTGTGACAACCTGAACTCTGAATTAACATCAGAATGGCGGTAAAATGTCCGGCTAAACGCCTGTGACTGCTTGTATCATTTGACTAACAAGTGTTTACAATACCACTAGTAGTATGCAGTTCACCACATGTCACCGAAAGGCAGCATTGGTGCAATACCATGCCATGTCATGTCATATCATAGTAACATACAGTACATACATGGAACATATACTTCTATAATTAGTAGGGTTATTTGGCGATAAACGAATCGGCTCCGACATGAGAGTGTGAATGCTGTTTAAAAAACAATAATAATTTTCTTGTAGAACAAGTGTACAGAACCTGGATGAAACTGACATGTTTTTAACTGTTAGTGAAATTTTCAACCCTTAAATGACATCAGCGATTGTGCACGAGTTTACGTGTACTCTCTTAGTAGGTGTTAAGTGTGTATGAAAATTGAATTATAAGATTAAGATTATTGAACTTCGATGTGAGATTTCCGAAGTTCCGATTAGTTACTTGTGTAGATCTGGTACTCAATCTACACGGAGTTCTTACTATTCAGAACTCGTGACATCTTTGTTCCGTGCGAGGTAATCTATTTCTGATATCGTAGACCTCTTACGATCCTCGGACCTCTTATGTGTTCAGTGTTCGGTCCTCTTATGATGCATCCTATGATACATACATAGGAAGCATACCTTACGATAGGTACGTAGGAATGGTATGATCCTTCATTCATTTCTTTGGAGCTTCGTATCGTATACGTACGTATCCTTCTAATATAGTACGTACGTATCTGTTGCAAATTGTGCATTGCTAAACCACTTAGCTGTAATCAAAAAGCTGTGCTTGTAAGTTATTAGTAGTAGTATTGTTAGTAGTACATACGTACTGTACTAAATACTGATTGTCTTCGTGTTTATCGGTATTTTTTGAAGCCCCCAAATTCAGTTTTCCCCAAATACGGAAGAGACGCGCATCACCAACAAAAGGAGTTCTTTCGCGCAAGCAGTAGGTATCGTACGGCACCGTGGTCGCACGAAACAGTAGCATGGAAAAGTTTACAGTGGAAGAAAGAATCTGTGCTTCTTTACCTTCCTTTCCATCGTTGGACAACGACCATCAAAACAACCAATAGCAATATCCCCAGCACTCCTACTCTCCGAAGAGTTCCAGAAGTCCGCGTTGAAGAGGAAAAGTCTACACATATCGACTACGATCACAATGGATGATACCGCCACCGAGTACCTTGCGAAGCACGGCCTAGCCGACATAATTCAGAAGCTCACTTCCGAAAAGCCTGAGGATCCCTACAAGTTCCTCGTTGACAGCGTGTCGGCATTGTCGCTGGATGCCAATGCTGCCCCAGATTCTGGCGCTGGAGCTACTGATGCTCCGGCCGCGGGTGTCTCCGCTTCTGAGACCGGCGCCAGTGAACAGGCGAGTGGTGAAAATCAGCAAAAGAGATCGAAAAAGAAAAAGAAAGATAAGGTTGCCAAGAAGAAGCAAGGTCCGAATAAGGGAGGAGGTGTCCAGGCCAAAAAGGCCGAAGATGTTCCGCTCTGGTACGAACAGGTTATTACCAAGTCAGAAATGATGGAATATTACCCAGTGAAAGGATGTTACATTTATCGTCCTTGGGCATACAAAACTTGGGGTGAGCACTGTGCATTCACTTGGTGTCGTCTTTTTGATACGAAACCTGTGGCAACAAGCGATGAAACTTACCCAAGTGGTTGCACTTGTTCTTTTTCACAGAAATTGTTCAGGGTTGGTTTGATGGCAAAATCAAAGAATTGGGTGTTGAGAACTGCTACTTCCCTATGTTCATCCCAAAAAGTTATTTGGAGAAAGAAAAGGATCATCTCGACGGTACGTCTTTTATGCACGTTCACAATATTCAATAATTGCCAATCTATTGCCTGTGTCTGAGTCTTTAAATCGAGGTTATTTCTAACACAAATTTGATTGGTATTTGTGTGGTATGGAATACTGCAGATTTTGCACCTGAAATTGCTATGGTAACAAAATGTGGCGACCGTGAGCTCGAAGAGCCTGTGGCCATTCGTCCTACAAGTGAAACTGCCATGTACGCTAGTTTCAAGAATTGGATCCAGTCGCATCGAGACCTCCCCTTGCGCCTGAATCAATGGTGCAGTGTTGTCAGAATGGAAGTCCGTCAGACCAATTTCTTCCTTCGTCACAGGGAGTTCCTTTGGCAGGAAGGACACACTGCCTTTGCATCTGAAATCGAAGCAACAACGGAAGTTAGGCAAATTCTTGAGTTGTACGCTCGCATCTACGAGGAGTTGATGGCCGTTCCGGTTGTTCGTGGGACAAAGACAAAAGCGGAGACCTTTCCAGGAGCCGAATACACGGAAACTGTAGAAGTTTTTATTCCACCTACGGGACGTGCATTGCAAGGAGCGACTTCCCATCATCTTGGTCAACGTTTCGCCAAAATGTTTGGAATCGAGTTCCAGGATCCTAAGGATCCAACAGGAAAATCTAGAGAATATGCTTATCAAAACTCCTGGGGTCTATCGACGCGATCCATGGCGGCTCCTATCATGATCCACGGAGACGACAGAGGTTTGGTCTTGCCTCCACGTATTGCTGGATTTCAAGTTGTCATTGTGCCGGTAGGAATCAAAAAGAGCAGTCCGGATGAGCTGAAACAGGAAGTAACTCAAAAATGCGAAGAGTATCGCGAGAAACTAGCCGCCGCTGGTCTTCGTGTTAAGGTGGACCAGCGAGACAACTCTCCCGGTTGGAAGTTTAACTTCTGGGAAATGAAAGGTGTTCCAGTTAGACTTGAGGTCGGACCCAAAGACATTGAAAAGGGGTCGTTTATTATGGCAAAGCGAAATGCTGCCGACCCAAAAACTGGCAAGGTCTTTGGAAGCGATGCACAAGTCGTCGAGGATGTTCAGAATGTTTTGGATGAAATTCACAATGAGCTCTTCGCGAAGGCTGTAGCCGAAAGAGACGAATCTATTGCTTCTGCGACGGAATGGAAGGACTTCAACGTATATCTGAATTCGGGCAAAATGATTCTCATTCCTTTCTGTGGAGATCCTGCATGCGAGGATATGATCAAGGCCAAATCAAAGGACGAAGCATCAGAAGCCGAGGTAATGGGCGGATTGAAAATGGGAGCGAAGAGCCTATGCGTCCCGATGGAGGATAAGTTCCAAAACGCCTGTCCTGAAACCTGTATTAATCCTAACTGTCCTAGCGGAGTTAAAGTGGAGAAATGGACTCTATTTGGCCGCAGCTACTAACAATTGGAGACTACTGTAACAGCGCAGCACTTGTTCCTCTGGTTCGAGTTACGAGACTGTGCATGATAGATTGAAAATTTACCAATTATATAATCTTATCTTAACAGAATCATATGGCAGTGGAATGTAGTCATCTTGTTTCGATACATTTTATTCAGATCAAGTCTCTGCAAAGAAAAACAGCATTGGTGTTCGAGACAAGTATTTTGGATCGGAATAAGATTGAAATGCATCTGTGTTACTCCTAAGACATTAGTCAGGCCGTTTCGACGATTGCCAAGAAAGATGGTAAGTATTGGCGTCAGTGAGTTCCTTCTCTATGATGGATGAAGTCAATCCTCTTCTTGCGATTTGGCAATTGTGGAAGCTGAAATATTGAAAGTCGTCACTGAGAGGAAGAATAGATTTTTGAAAAATACTTTCGATGTCGTTTCTGACCACATATTGGGACATTACTAGTAGAAGGAAACCACCTCCTCCTGCTCCACAAAGCATTGCACCATTGATTTGACTTCGATTCATCAGCTCAGATATGAACACCTTGACGGATTCAGGTTCTGCGCCGGAGTTTTCGCCAGCCATTACGCATTTTAATTTGTACGACTGGTACATGTACTCTCCTACGCCATCCCAGGATCCATTTTCTAACGCATTTCTTACAGCCAAAGAGCAATTTACAAGGTTCCCCACTGTGCTTACGATCTCATTTGTTCTTTTTGCCCAGCGCCTAAGCACCTGCTGAAGAATATTCTTTGCAAGCCGAGTCTTTCCAGTAAACACAAACAAAAGCCTCTCTTCAAAAGATAATGTATTTTCATTTGAAAGAACCACAGGGGATATCTTGATCTCTAGAGGGATTTTGGGGGCACTGACGACCGTATTTACTCCTGGGACTATGCCATGTGCTTGATCTTGCCAACCTCCTCCTGACGATAAAAGCTGCTCGAGCATGAGAATTGCATTGATCAAAAATTCGTCACCCAGTCTGCCGATACCGACACACTCTGCTAGATTTTGGAGAATACAGGCTCCTAGAATTGAACTTGTCCCCATACCAGTACCCATTCCAAGAAGTGATGTCGTTATAATTTCTATTCGGACATTATCGAGGCTTGAACAAAACTGATTGATTAAGTCTTGAATGTCAACAGATTGAACTATTTGTTCTTCCGAAAGCATACCTAGAACAATCAAAGACGCCTTAACCAATGCACAACTGGCTGAAGGATTTCGGAAGTCGCTCAACTGGGAAATGACAGTAACGTCTTCTTGCTTCGACGATAGCAGTGAACCTGTTGATATATCTCGAAGCTCGGTCTTGAGTAACATTCCAGTACCTCCTGTGATCACACGGCATCGACAAGAAAGGGGAAAGTGATCATCAAGCAACACAGCCATTCCAGTTACAGACCCTCCACATTCGTGTTCGTATGTTATAGGTGGAGTATCACTCCATCCACCCGCTAAGTCAACTCGGACAGGTGCGACTGAAAGAACAAATTTATCATATACCGTTGCGCGCGTCCTCTTCATACTGATTTTTGCATTATCAATAGGCTCAAGAAATCTGCGAAAACCAGCAACGATAGTAAACTCAATCATGCATAGCGCAAGTTGTTCCAATATGGTAGAGCAGAGAGACATTGAATTTCGCGTCGCGGGCGACGTGTGACATCCCCGAAGTTCCAAGATATCTCTCATTATCAGCATGTGATCTCCAGCTCCTTTTCCTGATGGAAAATGCGAAAGCTTAAATTTATTGATCAAAGCCTCCAACGAAACGGATGCATTGTTGATTGAGCCTTCGCATGCAATAGCGTCATTAGATGCACGTTCATCAGAAAATTGTGATATCGAAGCACTTGCGAGCATAAGTGCCCTTCCGCTCACATGGAAATTTCTGTTTGCAAACTCTTCCAATGCTAACTGTTCCAATGTTCCTATTAAAGAACACAATGTATCAAAAGCTTCTTTGAAGTCTTCGATATTTATTAACCATTGAAGATCACAAGGTACATTCTGGCATTGTCCCCTCAACAAAACCACGAGGTTATCTATATGGCCTTGGCGTTTCAGTATTGAAATATCTTCCTCCAATTGAATGCGATGGGCCCATTCTTGTGATGCGTCGGCGATACCATGTATTTGCTTCAACGACACCCTTTCTGTCGAAAGCCAGTTCGCTAGGCTTTGGTCGTTACGAAGTGTTGGATCTCCCGATCTTAGTTTCTCTACCCAAGCGAACAAAGACGAAAACGACGAAGAAGACCCATCAACACAGGTGTATGTTTTGTGAACAATGGGATGCAACTTGGCGGTCCAGAGGCAATCATTCTGTTTTAAATCGTCTTGAAATCCAATTTGGTCCAATGAGATGCCTGTGTGTCTGACGAAATCAGAAAACGGTATGCCATAGACTTCCCCTGTTCGGAGAGGAGCCTTGGTAGGATCTGTGATGCCCAACACCATCATGACCCATTCATCTTGTAACGGATCACACCGATCGATTGTGATATTCTCCTCCCTTGAAACCAGAGGTAAAAGCTGTATGCTGAGTGCATCTGGAATCTGAAGAGCCTTGTCAAACCCATCATTTGCTGAAGGACTTTGGCTATTGACATATCGTTCCCAACTCCTCAATCCGCTTACCATGCAATGATCTCCAATAGAAACAGATTCGTAACTCTGCAAGTCAGAATACTCTACGAAGCTAAAGGCCCCTACTCGAGACTTTGTTCTTTCACTCGGGAACGTCGAAAAGAGTATCGTGTTGTTTTGATGGGAAGAATATTCTGCAGGATTATTATCATCACCAGAAGGTGCTTGCCATGTTCCGAATCGGTGATGAAACTGAAGCTTTTTGGCTAATACTTTAGTCACATACTGGTCCATTACAGCGGGTATCGTTCTTGCCACGAAATCGTCATCATCACCATAACTTCTTGTTGTAATAAATTCTATCAATTCTTGCGTCGTTCCGACATGTGAAAAAGCTCCTCCAGGATCAGCGAGTACTTTCAGTGACATTACAGACAACACCTTTCTCAGAGCAGCTTGGATGTCATCTTTTCCGTCGGTATGAACAGGTGCGGTCGCTTTCTTTTTGTCCGACAAGGGCAAATTGTGCAAGATATCCGTGTATAGGTCAATCTTGAGAGCATTCGACTTTGCAAAAGATTGCAAGGATGATTGTGCAACAGAATCGACGCCTGTGTTGCTGCTCGAATGATAGGCCGCTTCCAGTCCTCTTCTGGTACACAAGGCGAGCAAGCCGTTGGAAAGGTTCATCAAAGTATTGTAAGCTTTTGGATAGAAAATCACAATGCCGGTATCAATCCAGGCCTGTTTACCCGATCGATTAGGAACATTGAAGCAAGTGGGTGGCAGCATGCCGCTTTCGATCATCGTCGATGATATTGTCGTTGTCGTCGGATTGGTCAAAAGCTTATCCAACTCTGGCTTTTGCCATACAGCAGCAGGAGTTTCCATTTGAGCTAAGCTCCATCCAAAATTACTACCTTCCTTGTCATCTTTGCGAGGAATAGGGAGCGTGTGTTCAGGCATGATAAAGACCCCGTGGTTTTTCGCCGTGTTTAATGGAGATGGCACCGCAACCCCCAGTACCGTGTAGGGATCAACAACCTCGGATTCACTATCCGGCATACTGTTTTTCTTTTGATTGCTGTCCTCGCAGCTGGAAAAATCTCCAAAAGAAAGGACGCAATCCGTAGCCAATACCAACAAGCTCCCTTCTGGAATCTGGGTCCGGTAAAACAAATCTTCCATTTGGCTGATTAGCCAGATGATTGGGTTTCGATATTGCGAGCTTGGTAAATTCGTCCACGCTTTGCCCAGAATCATGGATAAGGGGCACCTAGAAGAATCACCACCGGCATGCAAACAGAGAACTGTCTCTACACAACTCTCTCCGCCTTCGCTCGACCTTCTTACGTCGTTGTCACCGTTGCTGCCACTGCTGTTGTCACGGAGCAAGTCCAAGGCAGCCAAAGTCCCGCCAAAACTTCCACAACGCGCTCCAAATGGATCGCAGGTTGATATTACCTTGACGTTTATTGCCGTTTCATCCTCGCCATATCTTCTTTTGTCGTTCAAATACCGCTTCAGTGTTGATTCCAATAGTTTTTGGGCCGAACATGCCGATGCCTCGTCAGGATTGGTAACGACGACGGTCGTAAACGGGAAGGTTCTATTCTCATTATTCATCTTGTGTTCGGCCATAATATCAAAGCTCCAGGTTCTTTCTCATTCGCTTTACGCTGTCTTTTTTCTCAAGAGAATCTAAATTCACTTTCTAGTCTCGTGGTGCGATAATGTTGAAAGATGATGTTTTCTACTGCGGAAGATTCGGAAGGAACTATGCGCATCTACGTATCGTTGCTTGATTTTGGAGCTGGATCAGGAACCGGGTAGAAAATAAGGGACACGGTGTAGGGCTCGATGGAAGTGATAACATCCAATGAATCGATCACTTCCTGCACTCTACCTCGGCAGGGTGGCACAGGCACTCGTCTGATTACGATTCCGTGGATCTGTTGGATTTAAAACCTTACCTACGATTGAAGTGGAACGCCCTACATATGGGACTAAATATGTAGGCGAGACTAAAATTATCATGGGTGCCTTGATACTCCTACTGCAGATGCATACAATAAGAAGCCTCACCCTGATATGATTGAGAAGAATGACCATGTTCAAGCACCAGAACAAGAATGTTTCTTTATCATTGAAGTGCAACAGCAGATAAGATGATGGAGACATTCAAAGCTAGCATTGAAAAAAATATGCTGACAGTGGTGCTGGTGTCAAGATTTTTGCAGCTACAAGAAGAACAACTGATAGTACTTAAGTTCTTAAAGTGAACAGATTTGGTGGTACAATTCTTGAGAATGACTTGAAAATTCTGCATGCATATTGCACAGATCCTCTCTTGTTGCATCTCACTTGGAAGAAGTGCTATGACAAGGATAATACATTTAATGGTGATGATAGCTAGCTTTGTTAAATGTGTGAAGAAAATTTGAGATACTTCAAAAACTCAACACAACAAGCAATGGAAACTCATCTCAAAGAGAGAGAGAGAGAGAGAGGCAGATGCCCATTACAACAAAGACGGCATCTGTCAGCTTTACCAAGAAGATGTTGAAATGAGATGGTGGTTCACCTTCAATATGTTTGATGACTTGTTGTTTTTAAAAGAAGCGCAACAAAAATGAGTATACATAGTTAGTTTGCAAAGGATTATTTGCTCCAACCTTTTTAATTGACAAGCCATAAAGTATTTAAGACCTGTCAAGAAAAACTCGAAGGGGGCAAATATGCCACAGCACCCTGGGTGCCATATTGTGTTTGCCGATGCAGGGTTGCGCTTGAAAAGGGATGTGAAGACGCCTTGTTTGTTTGATCTCTATACGGTAGCTCAGCATGGTACGTTGGGCAAAAACACCACCTCGGCGATATTGTTCATTATATACATGACTGTCAAGGAAGATGTTGCGATTACCGAAATCATCTCCATCGAATCGAAACGCTGCATAGATGTGGTAGGATGCCACATTATATTTACCTGTGGTGATTAGAGATACATGCAGCTTTCCTATTTATCTTAAATTGCTATGTTTAACTTTTTGAACGCATTGATTTATTACATTTATTATAGAACAATTTGTAGTCATCACAAAATTATGCAAGTGTCGCTCACAGCGAGCAAGAAAATTAAAATGCACTGCATCGACATGGTCTGTTTAGGACGAGTGATTCAATTGGATCTACATTTGACCCAATTTCTGTCATCGAGTTTCCGGGAATCTTTTCCTCAAGCTTCGAGTGTCGCAGAAATTGTTGCCTTGATGGCTGCCATTTTTCGGTCCTGCTGTGCCAAGACATTCCTCAAATCAACTTCATGAAAGGTGTCCTGATCCTCCATTTGTACAATCTCTTTCAATTTTTCTCTTCGCACCTTTGCAAGTTCTTCCCATTGTTCTTCGCGTGCCCTTGTAGCCTTCAGTACAATTTCTTGTTGCTCCACCATCGAAAGGAGGCTAGAATTCATTGATGCAAGGCCATCATGCTGCTCGGTAACGTCTGCAAGGGTCTTGCGAAGTCCATTACATTCATCTGTCATTTGCGACAAAGTCTCTTTCAACTTTTCAATCATATCATTACGCTGTTTCACTTCGTACTGGAGCATCGAGATTTCAAGCTTGTCTTCCTTCTTTTCGATTTCCATCACGCTGATATGATCATCCATTTCACGAAGCTTTCCAGTGGTACCAGGACTCGAACACCTGGTGAGACTGTCCAAAGAATCGTCAGTCTTCCTTTCTTCGCTAATGTGAAGTGACCTGAAGTTGCTTCCAATGACTTTGTAGGATGGTGTAATGCTGCTCTGAGATGATGTGGATCGTTGGTGTTCGCTGCTAGAACTGGTTGACCAACGCTTCAATGCAGCAACAACTGCGTTTCTCTCTCGATAATCTCCTTCTTTCGCCAAATCCGAAGGGGTGTTGCCATCTTCGTCCTTGCAGTCACTAATGTTTCTGTTAGCCACCAATATCATATCGACGACTGAAATCGAGCTTGGCCCCCAGCAAGCGATGTAGTGAATTGGCAACATTCCGCGAGGATCGGTGAGTTTGGCAGCGTCGGGAAAGGCCATGAGCAGAGCACGGATGACTTCCCTGCTAGCTTGATTTCCGGCGGCGTAGTGAAGAGCATACATGCCTTGATCGTCAACGGATCTAGCACCTGTTGGATATGCAGCCAACAGAGCCTTGATCAAGCCGGCCGGAGGCTGGCGAGCACAGGCGCTGTGAATAGGGAGAAAGCGCCACATGTTTTTTGTCGGGTCGTCCTCGTGTTTGCGGACCACCCAGGTTTTTGCTTCATCTGGATTTTTCTTCACTGCTCGCATCGCTTCTTCCCAGTTGGATTCCGTGATGGCATTGTACAGATCCGTGATGTTCTCGTGGAAATCAACCTCAAAACTCATGATTCGGTTTGATGGGGATGACTTGTATTGTTGATGGTGCTAGGTACTTGTGATTGAATGGATAATTCTCCTCGTCGCAACTAAGTGGAAAGTTTAGATAACTGAATGAATAGGTCTGAATTGATTGAGCAAGAAAAGTAAGTTCGGTGGTATGATTGTTGGGGGCAGACATCGAACAATAATGTGAAGTGACAAAGAGTTGCTTTAGATCGCTGAAGTTGCGTCACATATCGCTTCAAAACATTCAATTTATTCATGTATTAATATTGAAGAATGTCTAATCTGAATTGGGGATAAAAATATAAGCCCCAAGTCAAGGATAGATGACCCGAAGAGTGAATAAAATACTTCTCAGGTCAGTCCCGAATGAAAGGCATCCAAAAAGAAAGAAACGCATCCTAATTTTTTTCAAATCAAGAAAATCTTCGGAACCCATGTGAGCTGGTCCTTTGATACGGCAATACGTACCGTACAACGGTGTTGCGACGAAAATGGCGTAATGATTATCACTGCAGGAGATAATTCTTCGAACACTACCATTGAGAACACGCCTTGCAACCATGGCTCGAATAGTGAGACAAAATAGGCACTCGCCCCAATGGAGGAGGCCGGTAGCCCTCGTCTCTTTTTCGCTGGTAGCTCTGCTGCTCACGGGCACGACATCTTTTGCATTCACTACTCCGACGGCATCTCAGGGGATCGTGCACGGCACAAACAAGAAAAACATTCGTTTGACTGCTTTGGACGGCAAGGCAGAAATTCCCGGACCCACCCGCAATGCAGATAAACTCATTTGCTCCTTCGACGAAACGGATTTTTCGGGACGAACTTCGTGGCCCTACACTGCCGCCGATTTAAACCGTCTCGACAACACCGACGACTCGAAATTCTACGACAGTCCACGGATGGTTACGCACATCGACGACATGGCAATCGAATCGCTAACAGAGTTTTACAAGAACACATTCGAAGAATTAGCAGAACAATCCGACGAAGAAGCGACGAAGAAGACGATAGACATTCTCGATTTGTGCTCGAGCTGGGTCAGCCATCTGCCAGTGGTAGACGCCACCTCTAGCTTTCAATACGGGAATGTCGTTGGACTAGGGATGAATCAAGAAGAGCTAAACGCAAATCCCCAGTTGACAAGTTCCATTCTCCAAAATCTCAACATCGATCCGAAATTGTCGTCTCTAGACGACGAATCCTTTGACGTAGTCGCCATGACAGTATCCATCGATTATTTGATCAAGCCGCTCGAAGTGATCCAAGAGATAAAGCGCGTTTTAAAACCAAATGGAGTTGCGTTGATCAGCTTCGGTGATCGTTGTTTTCCGACGAAAGCAGTTGCAATGTGGTTGCAAGCCGATCCTATTGACAGAATCACTATCGTAGCATCGTACTTTCATTATGCTCAGTACGATCAAGAAGCGAACAAGGAAGGGGGCGACGATAGCAACGATGGCAAAGATGAAGTGTTATACAAGTGGAAGTCTATCGATGCCTACGACTTAAAGGATGAACCCCAGGAAGCACCGCCCAAACCTTCTATGGGTGAAATCATGTCGAATCCTGCCTTGGGATTCGCGTGGATGAATACTGCATCGGCAGTACAAAAAGCTAACAACTGCGATCCGCTTTTTGTCATCAAGGCGTCAAAGTAGAGACCTCCATCACGGTTCGCGTGTTTTTGACTTTCACGCGGTGATAGCTAAATCTATAAATCATCACATAATTTTAGACCTTTTTTATTGATTGGAGGGGGGTTTGCCACTGGGAAGGGCTGTGTCCAGGATTGACAGACTGTTCATGGAAGCCGTTCACTCGCAGAGAAGGGATGCGAATCTTTCGTGCAAGCAGAGACAAACCTCGTAGCTGTTTTTTCTAGTGATGATTGAAATTCTTTTTCATTTCCCTCTATTATTAACAGATTATTATAAATCGTTTTCTTTCTTTAATAATCACCGTCGCCGTCATCTCCGAAGAGACCACCGCCTCCGGCAGGAGCCTCGGCTTCTTCTTCCTCTTCTTCTTCCTCCTCTTCCTCTTCGGCTGCAACAGCTCCGCCGCCACCGCCGCCGCCGCTGTGAGGAGAAATTAAACAAGCAAGGAGGAAAATTACGTTCGAGTGAGAAAATATTTCTAGTTGTATGCGCAGTGTTTTTTCGCCCACAATCTTATCGTCTCTAATACTGTTGAGAAAGCCTCTCCGTATCTCAGAATGGTGAAAAGCACCTTCCAGCACAACGAAACAATTACACCTTTCACCCCTCACGAAATATGTTGAACTATGTGCGAAAGGAGTTGGATAAACAATCATCCATATGGATTTAATCCACTCACCCTCCGCCGCCGCCTCCCATGGGCACATCCTTCAGCTTTTCCATTCCTGCGGCAAGCAATTCATTGATATCTTTTCCGTCCATATCGGCGGCAATGGCAGCAACCTTGTCGGCATCAACCTCGGCTCCGGAAGCTTCCAAGACAGCCGTGATGTCAGCGGCAGATCCGGACTTTCCTCCGAGGGCACATAGCATTAACGCTGCAACTTCGCTCATCTTCTCTCTCTATTCTGTATATCTGCTGAACTATCTCGATAGTGGTGGAACCAGGACACTTTGCTGAGGAACAACGTCGCAGCCTTGTTTAGTTTTTTGGGTTTCGAGCTCAGCTGCGTTTCCATCCTCGAATAACCAAAAAGTAAGGCGATAACAGGTATTCGTGACTTACTAGGTGAAACCCACAATGAGTTAGATCGAACTAGTCATCTATCATCAAACATCAAATCAATCAGAATCGGAATCTATCAATCACGTGCACGGAATCGTGCGGACATCTGACTCCCAACCATTTGTAAGACTGACCGCGACTTACAGTTTCTGAAAACATGCCACGTTGCTGCTCGAAATAAATAGAACCCAATCAGAAAGCGTTCTTCGCAACTTGTCCTCTTTGTTCTTTTAAGTATTTTTTGACCGGCCCGACTTCCTTCTGGAGTTTCCTCTTCCAAAACTTATCGACACATCCGTTGCACTCCTTGCCATTCAATTCGTTTGAAATACTTGTGAACTCTGCAAATAGTAGGAAGGAATGCATTCCCCGTTGATGTGTTGATGTGTTGGTCCAAGTTACCGTAAACTGAAACTGAAACTGGAACAAACCTACGGTACGATACCGGTACCAGTCCCACCAATCATTGATTGATTTGATTTCTGCTGACTCCACTCCCTTTCCAAACAAACGAGTCGGCCATCAACCGCCCATTGCAGAACGCATTCGAACGTCAACATTCTTGAACGAGTTTGACTAGACCCGTTGTAGATCATAACTTATCGAGGTACCGGTCCTTCCCGTATCATATTCGAAATCGTACCACGAGAGAAAACAACCGGAGGTGCAGCGAGAATAACATACGGCAACGAGTTCGAACGATGTCATACACAACGAACTCTGCGTTGTTGAACCTCCTTGTGCTTCTATCGCCATGGTCGTTTGCTTCATTTGTCGCGGAGGCGTCTTCGGCGGCAGCCGCCAACGGTGTTAAGTCCCCATTTAAAATTGTAAGTAGATTCCTCGTTGAGGTGTTGCACCGCAGATGGCTCTCCTTCTTTTCCTACTTTCGCGGAAATCGGAATGAGGCTGTTTCTAATTCCGACTATGTTTCATTTTTCCTTTTTGCTGTCACGTGCTATAATGGGGCCTTGTGCAGATTTTCGATGGAGGTTCGACGGGATCGCGTCTCCACATTTTTGAATTCTTAGAAGCAGATGCCAATGGTGCTCAAGGAAGCGACCGCAGCAACGATGATGCGACGACACGGCTACCAGCATCCGATACCGAAAGGGACGTTCAGTGTGTCCGTCGTGGATCGACGCGGGCCAATATTCCGCTCTCGGCATTTGGTCGGTTGCCTGCCGATCAAAATAATAACAATCCGCTCAATTCTTCAAAGGTTGCCGCCCATTTGCTTCCACTTTTCGATTTTGCGGCAGACATTATCCCATCCCAATATCACGAGACAACGGGTGTCTATTACCAGGCGACAGCCGGGATGAGGTTGCTTGCGGAATCGGAGCAAGAAGCTGTGTACGACGCTGTATATGAGGGCCTCATGGCGGAGGAATCATTTGTCTTTCGTGGTATGCAACGGAAAGACATCGCGACACTGAGTGGGGAAATGGAAGCCTACTACGGGGCATTAGCGGCTAATTTTTTGAAGGGGATTATTGATACAGAACTCCATTTAGTTTATGCTCAGAACAATGGCAGAGAAACGAACGAACTCCCCCATCACCCTATTGGCGCCTTGGATATGGGAGGAAGCTCGACACAAATTGTATACATCGCCAACCAAGATGATGAAGACGACGAAACAGAAAGGGATCCATCGAATACATGTCCGATTAAACAACAACCAAAATTGAATGACAGCGAAAACAAAAATGTCTGCAAGCTAAGCGACGAACATTTCTTTTCCACTTCCTATTTGTCGTACGGGGTCGATCAAATTAGGAAGCGGTTATGGGATACGCTGGTACTTGAGTATGTTGCATCGGATGACGCATACATGGTTCCCAATCCCTGCGCAAATAAGGGGTTCGAAGTGGAGCACAAAGGCCACACCTTGCTTGGAACGGGAAACACGGACGAATGTATTCGGCAAATGAAACGGCTGATTCCGCATCCCGATGTACTTCACGACTGGGATTCGGACTATTCTGGATGGGCCGTGGGCGGCGTCGAGCATCCTCCCATCCGAGGAAAGTTCCTCGCCATGTCTCTCTACTTTTTTTCCTTGGACAGCCTCCGGGTGTTTTCGGAACCGGATGAAGAGGCACATTATGCGCTCGACGAAGCGTGGCCGACTCCAAGTATTGATGAACTGCAAAACGCCTTGGACGGTCTCTGCTCTAGGAATTGGCAAGGTGACATGGAACTCCAAGAAGGAACTCATTCTTTCACGCGAAAGGAGGTTCTGCCGCATCGATGTCTGGAAACCGTTTATATGGTAACTTTGCTGAAGGATGGATTTGGATTCCATCCTTCTTCAAGGGATATTACTTTCACGTTCCTCGTTGATGGGGACGAAGTCGAATGGACACTTGGATTGGCCCTAGCTATGAATGCCAACGAGAAGAGTTCAACTCCTCCAACAACTGTCACAACAACAACAACTGCTTACGATTACAGCATCGACGACACCAATGAAGATGTAAAGGATGATGGATGCAACGAAACGGGGAATGACGTGTTTGAGGAAGAACAACAATATCACATGCAAGGCATGCCAAACTCGCAATACTTCGCCGTCGCAATGCCTCCAACACACTGCTGCTGAAGCTGGAAAAACATATAGACTACTAGCTGTACAAATACATTGAATTTTTGGGTGTTATATAATGATAATTTTATGTTTGAAATATTCTACAAAGCTGCTTATAAACTATGTGCTGCTTGAATCCTGGTCGCACTTCCACTAACACTCCTCGGAGGGAAGTGCTGCCCCTCGGAGCAGCTAGGAGCATTMTTTCTAACGAAAGCTGTGGTTCTGGCCATATAGTGCCTCTTCTAGTTCACAAGGTTAAAAATAATATTAAGATTTTTTTATGTGCTGCTTGAATCCACATGCAGGTCTGCCTTCGGCCGTATTTTCATCGTTCCTCCGTTTTGACTTTGTTTGTGCTTAAATGTTCAGACGCTTTTGTAAATTACTACAAATTCTGGAATAGGTGATACCTCGTGGTTACCCTCAAAGGAGCTACTTGGATTTTCAAACACGTGACCGGTGTCTTCTTGGTCGAGAAACTGGTTGTCTGGGAGGTGGGGATAGGAGTCGCAGTTCTTTGGGGCATCGTTCCAATGGTTGGCACTCGATGAAGGGCTGCTCGGTTCCACTGTGGGGGTTACGGTGTGGAAAGCACTGCCCCTCCGTGGAATGCTTTCACAMATGGGCGAATAGACAAATTTCTGCCGAAGCATGTGCTTCAGAGCGCTGTAATCGCCGGGATGCATGTTGGTTAGAGTACGAGGAAAGTCTGGGTCGAGATTCTGCTGGCGACACGGAGTTGTCTGGGTGTTTTGGCCATCTGGAAGCACAGAGGAGAAATCCAGTCTTCGAACGGACCGGGACGGGTACACCGGAAATGGGTACTCGAAATGAGGAAATTTGTCGGGCGTATGAGAAGGAGTTACAGTAGTAGAAGTGATATGTATATTATCGATATCGAACTTGGTAGTTTCTGTGCCATGGTTCTCACCGTCACTATTTATTGGTATGAAGGACCTCTCATTCATGAACTCTTCCTCAAAATTTTCTGACACCTCGTTGTCCCATTCATCGAAAGCAAAACTGCGGTAAATCGTTCGTTGACGCGATTCTTCTTCAGGCTCATAATGTATATATTCGTCGGTAGCTTCGTGTATTTCGCTCTGAAGTCCAACTATTGCTTCGGATGCCTCGTTCGTCAGCGTCTCTTCCTCATCCCATTCGTCAAAGGCAAAAGTACGATGAATCATCCTGCTGCAGTCTTCGTCTTCGTGAAAAAGGTAATCTAGGGAGGGTTGGGTAGCCGATGTGTTCACTCGAAGGATTGGATTCATTTTGAAAATTTGGATAATATAATGTGATTCTGCACTTGACGAGTACCAAAAGGAGAGTGCAAGGACGATAAGCATCCGATTTTGGTGAGTGAAACTATGACAAATAGCTAAAGTATGTCGGTACACAATCAATCAATCGATCCGAACAAAACGTCGAATACGAATACCTTTATGAATATACGTTACTTACGAGAAATATGAAATTGCTTTCCTTTCGTTTGCTGGGTTGAAAAACAATACTATCAATTTTTGATTTTATGGAAGGACAAGACCACTCCGAAGGTTGAAAGAAAGAAAATTACTAGGTACCATCGATCGGATGGAATAGAGCAGTATGGTCAATACACTCTAGTAGACATCATACACACCCATTGCAACGACCAAAAGCCAAGTCCCGCTCAGTTGCTTCATCGTCTTGTCACTGCTATCATCTTGTCGCATTAGAGTCTTTGGGAGAACCCTGTACTAAAATAAAAGCGTTTCGGACACATCAAGAATGAGTTCTTTGCAAGTGAGCCGACGGATCTATTATGATTCCGCCCTAAATTCCCTTTGACGAGTTGGAAAGGCTGTCGTCGGAACGAACTTTTGTGAGCGTTGATCCAGTTGACAACAACCTCAAAAACGGCTTGGCAAGACTCGAGAAAGGAGCTGAACTAGGCCCCTTCCGTTTGCGGTGTTACTTCCGGGACTCGATTCAAAGCTCTAAAATCTAACTGTACTTTATTGCCCCATTACCGTAGCGTACTGGTACCAGTACGTACTTTACTTGATTTACTGTGGAGACTGTAGACTCTGGGTTGATTTAAAACTAATTCGTCTCCGAATTTAAAATCATTCTGTAGAAAAAATCAATACATACAGTACGTACTACCAGTACTACAAAATGTACAGCACATCATGAAAAAAGAATGGTGATGAACAGAACCATTATCTCAAACAACGATGGCTCGTTTGTCATCGACGAGCGTATCTACCTCTCCAATTCAGGAAGAAGAAGGAAAAGAAGAAGTGTCTGCATGGAGACGCGATCCGGAATCCTCGTTCAGCGATTGGACGATCCGTGTCATTCGAAGCAGCAACGAGAACGCCGTCGTGACTGGCGTCACCAACTTCGACGGTGGAAGCAGTTGTGATGTGAACGATAGAACCGATACTTCGTCGCTTTCCAATGCTCTGGATTCAGAAGGACTTGGTGACAGTCACTGTGATGACGAGGAGGTGACGTACCATGTTCATCGTGTCTACTTGGCATCCGGGCCCCGAAAAAGCGAATACTTCCGAACTCTATTCTCATTGACAACCAACACTCAAGAAAAGGTATCGAGGACTACAACGCTTGAACTACCAGAATCTTCGTGTTCGATTTTCCCTGTACTGTTGGATTATATTTACAGCGGTGAAACCGAAGAAAATACTGTCTTATGCGGACACTTCGGTGACAGCATCGATGTTGCGGTCCTCAGGGAAGCGGTGGCATTGTATTTTTTGGCCGACTATTTACAAATACAGAAGTTGATTCCCATCACAAAAAAACTTGTTCAAAATCTCTTGAGCGATGTGAATGTACACTTTCTGTGTCGCGAGGCACTAATGTACGGCATTGATTGGATCATAGATGATTGCATCATGGTAGCGTCATGGTCCCCTCGCGATTTCTTTGCACCGACAACAGAAACGGGATCTCCCGCATCCTGTTCACCATCGACTCATCCGAACACTCCCTTGTCACATACAGCTCCTCCAGCCTCACAAACCTTTGACATGTTGCCTCTAGAGAGACAAGCAGAGCTATTGAAACTTTCTTTATCGCATACGTTGCGGGAGCTTGGCCGATTCAAACGGGTCCCATCTCGATGGAAGGATGACATCGATGATGTTGTTGCCACGCACATGCCGACGTTGATGCTCAGCAAAGAAAGTGGGGAGAACGAAAACCGAATCCGGGACTATCGATTGCCAGCTCAGGGATGCGGTTTGCCCTTTCCAGACAACAGAATGTGTCCCTTGTTTTATTTTGATCGAGATCGAGACCACACAACACCCGTCGCGTCGCCTTTGGCTCAATCCCAACCAAGTGGGCAGGCGGCTATTAACGTTGGTTCGAATTCGTTCGAGACATAATAGTTTGAATTTTGCTGGAAACGACGTATTCGCTTTGCCGTAGCCCGGACCATCTTGGCGACAAGCGACATGTGCACGTCGTCTCGTGGCTCTGTCATCGTCCGAACCACCTAGGCACCAATGAAGAAGCACTCGATTTGTAATGAATGAATGTCGTTCATAATGCAATGTTTGAGAGAAAAAAAACTTAACCAACACACCGGTGACTCTTCACAGTACGCCAGTTCCGTTGGAAATATACAACAATGAATGATTTTTGTGTTCTCTGATCAACAGGCATACAGCCACCGTGAACCGATCAAAAGAAAAAGTTGCAAAGAACCCCCATCGATATAATTTTTGGTAAGATCCTGTTATATTTTTAATGATTTACTATTGGTTATTGGACTATCTTGTACAGAACTGACTCGAGAATATACGTTATCTGGAGCTCTTCGATCATATATATGATGAGTCATCGATAACAAAATATTTCTTGCCGATGAATTCATCCTATTTCGTTGGAAGCAAAACATTGTATTTGCCCCATTCATTTTTTATTTTTTCGTTCATTCCTCTGTCAGCGCCTTTCTCAACTTCTCGCGTCGTTCCGGGCCGAATCCTATGTAATCACAGTATCCTTCTACACTACCATAATTTTCTTCGATAGCTATCAGTGTGTCGGCCATGACTTCCGGTGGGGCACCGAGAAAAGTTTTGGCGTCTAGGTTTCGCTGGGACAGGGCTCCAACCATGGCCTTGTGGTCCTTCATTTCGGCGTAAACGTTTGCAGAGAGCGAGTAGTCCTCGACAATGTCTTCGGACTTGACGCCGCAAATACTCAAGATGATGGCGGCAATGATCCCGGTTCGATCCTTGCCAGCGGTGCAGTAAAAGGCCACGGGGTGGCGATCGCTTTCGGCAACAAGGTCGAGGACGTACTTGATTCCCGGAGCTCCGAACCTCAACAGCAAATCGTTGAGCATGATCAATCCCCCCGAGTTGATTTCGGTGATAAACGGTTCTTTCAGGGAGTTCCATATACGTTTGCTGAGGAATGCTCCGGGTGCCTTGATGATAGCCTTGGCAATGTCACGTTTTCGAACCTTGGTAACAGTCCCACGAACGTACTTGAATTCATTCATCAGCGAGACAAAGTGCCTCTCGTTGCGATCTTTCGACTTGGTAAGCGCGCGTTCGGCAGGCAGGGTCAGGGGATCGTCGCACCCCACCTCGCACATTTCGTCCTCTGCTGCAAGGTCGTCGGAAGCATCGAGTTGTTTCTTGCTCAGCCGAAGCTTCCGCGCTTTTTCCACGGGCGACACTCCCGCTGCCAATTCGCGGACGCATCCGTCCCGTCGGCGTCCGTTTTCGATCCACACCAGGTTGGTAAAGCCATCAAAACATTCTGCCATGAGAGCGTCGTCGTCCCGGAGTTCCGTCGGGGATCGCAGGTCCACCAGGGTGGAGATCCCGAGATCCTTGAACAAGAGTTCTCTGTCCTTCTCGGAGGCGTCACCCAGTCGTCCCGTTCGAAAGATCCGACCCGGTAATATGGAGGACGATGAGGTGCAAGCCAGGTCACGGCAGTTTTTAACGCTTTCGAGGGGCAGGTTTCGCTCCAAACACAAGGCTCGGATCTCCTCCTTGAACAATTCGTTGTCTTCGTCGGCGCCTTCCGCTGTCTCCGTCTCTTCAACCTGGGATGCAAGTTTTAGCCCTCTTGGCATTCTCGCAACACGTCGGCCGATGCGGTTGTTGTTTTGAAATCTGTTTTCATGGAAACTAGCTGCATGTCCTCTGAGCGACGTCGAAAAGGCTTCCGATACTTCGAAAGAGCTCAACGCTAAGGCAACGAGTAAGGCCCCGTGCTGTAAATAGTTGGTAGAAGTCACCATCATTAGTTCAAGTAAAACAAAATGCAAGCTTTGTGTGCTTTATAGGTCCGCTTGATCTCTTAATATTACTCTTGCTGTGGATTGATGCTGTGAGATAGGTTTTGTTGAGTTTGTACTTGCAGGATCCAGGGATTCATAGATACCTGACGAGAAGAACAGAATACATGACAATGAATGCCCGACGCTCGAATTGAATGCTCGTACGGTGTGTACAAGTTCAAACTTGTACCAGTTACTCCGTTTAGGATTTTTTCATCGAACACGACACACGAATTTTTTGAACGGCAACAAATAGTAGTGATCACCCTTCGTTGGAATTGTTGCGTCGTCGGTCGTCGACTTTCACCATCGCGGCCTACTGACGAGTTTGATGCGGTGACGCGTGTTCGTATTATTTATGTATTTATGTTTTTCGTTGATGCTCGTATGGTTGTATTGTACAGTCCTGCATTCGTATGTAGTACGTACGTACGGTACAAATTAAGTAGTAATTTTTCGAAATTTGAATCGAATTTTAACTCTAACTCTAGCCTATGATTACCTTTCTTCCGATGCCAAGCATGTACCGGTACGTACTGGTAGCGACTAACGACTAAGTTGGTACTGAAAACTGTTGATGGATCGTTGTTGGAAAGATTGGTTCCAATCTTTGAAGAAAGACTACACACCCTGTTGCAACGTTTTGGCCGAAACTTAATTAATTCACAACTTCTTCCTTTGTAGAAAGAATGGTCTCGATAGACACCTCACGAACCACGTAATTAGATTCGTCTTCGCTGTCGTAACCATCCAACATTTCCACGTGCCGGGCCTTTTGCTCCCTTCGAAGTTTTCGCAGATCGGAAATAATATCGCGGATTTTCTTTCGCTGGAGGCGTTTCCCCTTGGTTTCTTCCAGGTACTGGGCTCGGGCGCGTTCCTTGTCGGCCTTCTCGAATTGTTTCTCATATTTCTTGAGATCCTTTCGGACCTTTTCAATTTCTGGTTTGGACAGAAGCTTTGCACGAGGTCTCCATTGGAATTGATAAAAGTTTTCGAAGGATTGTTGATAAAGCTGCTTTCCTTGGAAAGACCACAGAATGTATCCATTGTCCATGGCAAACTTGAAATGACCACCTTCGACTGGCTGGGACACACAGGTTGCCACGGATCGACCATCGGGATCCCACAGGACCTGGTTCGATCGGTAATGTTCCTTCACGGTCAAGGACTTGTTGTCGACGTTGTAGAATTCGAGGGTTCCGGAAGCGGAGTCTCCCAAACTGGCCAACAGTATGGTCGATCCAGCAGGACTCCAGAAGAGGCAGTTGCATTGTTTTCCCGACAAAGTTTCGACCTTGTTCAATTCGGGAACGATGGTCGTCTGCTTTGGCGCGGACTTCTTGCCCTTCTTCCCTCCGGTGCTCTCGCTCTTCTTCATCATGTCGTAGAACGAAACGTCTACCTTCGTCGACGAGGGATTTTCCGCATGGATCATGGCAAATCTCGATCCTCGAGGTTCCCACACCAAAGACATGACGGCGTCCTTCATGTCAAGCATTTCAACGGGAATTCCGGTTTCGTTTAGTCGGAAGAGCTCGATGTTGTTGTAGAAAGTCTTCTTCGATTTCGTGTGTCTCGTGACCTTGACTGCTAAATAGTCGCCATCGTTCTGCCAAACCATCGAACAGTTGGTAACATTGAAAAGATTCTTTTGGCGAAGTTTCTTTCTCGTTGGAAGCTCAATGAGGTCAACGTGGGCGGGAGAGTTCTTTTGTTCTGGCGACTGTTTGATGAAACGTATCGAAGACGTAAACTGTGTGAGCTAGCTATTCCAAAATCCAATTTTTCGAAAGAAAAGAAGAAATTTAAAACGAAAGCGAGTGACTTACCCACAACGCTAGAATATTCGCCTTCGGTGACCATTGGAATTCGTGGATTCCTTCGGCCAACAGAGATTTCTTGTCCAACAATCCCATAGACGGCGTGGAATATATCGAAATCAAATCCTTGCCCATGCGGGCGAGGTAAGCATCGTCGTGAGACCACTGAAAAGGTGGTGGAGGGACGTCTTCTTTCCGTTCGATGTTGTTTGGGAAGAGCGGGAAGGCACGCAGAAGCTTTCCTGTTTGGATGTTGTAGACCTTGATAGCCTGTTCATCGTCGTATCTCATGTTGTTCGTAAGCATGTAGTTTTCTTGTGGACTAAAGAGAACGTTCTTAACATCGGGTGCTACAAATCGTCCAACCTTTTCGTAGGTACTACCACTCCAGAGAATAACTCCACGAGCGGGTACCAGAGTCGCAAGGTAACTTCCCTTCGGCGACCAGTGGCAGTAGTACTCGCACCAGTTCACGCCTGCCTCCTTCTCGCGTTCTCCGTCGTAATCGACAACGGGATCGGCCTTACCATCGAACCAACTGACGACGGTTTCATTTCCTTGTCGAATGACGAATTCATCTCGTTGACTTGGATCTTCAAGCCACGACATGGCATTTGGTTTCTCGACAAATGGTTTCCGTTCGGGTTCGACGAATTCCTTCTCTTCCAAGTCGTTGAGCTTTTTCGCCCTCGTGTACGGCGTGACAACCAGCATGTGGTTCTTATCGAACTTATAGTTATTCAAGACTTCCACCGCGTTTTGGGCCTCCTCGGGGGTTTCGTATTCGCAAATGGCAAAACCTTCCGTCGCGCCAGCTTCCGCATTGAAAGGCATTACAAAGCCGGTGAAACCTGTGTCTTCGTTGGACGCTAGGTTTCCGAGACGGGAAATAATTTTCATGACAACCTTGGTGAGTTTTCCGACCTTCGCCTCGGGGACTTTCGGTAGATTGAGGACGACAATTGCCGTTTCGAAGGACTCCTTCAGCTTGGGGTATCTCGGGTTGAGGTCCAGTGAGGTATCCGAAAAATAACCGTCATTGTAAAGATCTTCTGTCTCGGCCTCGATTTCGGCTTGTCTCTGTGCTGCTGCGTCGTCTGCCATGCTTTATTTTGATATTGGTTGCTTTCTTTCCTGTTGCACTCGTACTGTTTGGAGATGCTCTGCTTCCACTTTCTTGTTGGTACGGTCGGTATCGGGGGATTGTGGTGAGGACGAACGCTATTTTTGTTCCCTTCGCTTAGAGGACCCTGGCACTGCAACCTGTGTTTCAGTAGTGTAGTACTAGTAGGCGAACGTATCGTTGGCCCGCACTATTTTTTGTGATGCAACGCTACCGTAGTACGGAGTAAAAAATGAAACGCAACGTGAGGTCCATCCATAGTGACAGGTTGACGGACAGGCGAGCTTATTTTTTATTGGGTCGGTAACGCAAATACGCAGTACAGTAGTTTCTACGGTGCAAAAACTAAGTTAGTGCCAAGGTAAAAAGTAACAAGAATCTGAGAAGAATTTTAAAGCTTATCAATGAAAGCACTGTGGCTGTTTGTTGTTTTTGAAACAGGTGAAACAGGAATGGAATTGATTTGTTGTCTATGTTGAACATTGCTGGCAGTGTTGTTTTCTGTAAGAAGAAGAAGAGGGGGTGTTCTTGCAAACAGACCACCACCACCAATGGTGCGTCCGTTAACTGTTTTTCGACCCCCTTTTTTTTGTAAATTTCCGGGGTTTGTACCTATTCTCAACCCCTGAATGAACATATTTTGTGAGTGAAAATAACACGTGGGTTGCGATTCCCGACCGGACTTACTACCTCACTTGTCAATTAATTTTTTTAAAAAATATTCGATGAGTCGTGGGGGTTGAGAATTAATTTTAAAAGTCATGGGATGGCTGCTKTCAAAATGTCAAGTCACATGGTGCCAATTTATTTTTATTCAYRTTTGCATAGTGGGATCRCAAATTGTATTTTTTAATTCCATGGTCTAAAGATAGTCGAGTAAATTTCCAATTTATTTCAATTCTATTTTGGTGTGGTTGAGTTCATGTTTTTG